TAGTCTCACTTCGAGATTGCGCTCTCGTTGGAGGGCATCGGAGATGTCGGCCTCTGCCAGAAACACCCCAGGCCCCGGCAGTGAAGGCCAAGGGTTATTTCGATTGAACGCTTTCCGCGCGGGTCCTCCAAGATCTTCTGCTCACTTTGCAGGCGGCTGATCTCGGTCGTGGATGCCTGATCACACCATGCAAAGAGCCGTCAGCGCTTCAGGGGAAGAGGGGTGCACCTGAAGTTGGCGAGACAACTCCTGCTCCTGGCGAAAGCTAACGAAAGTTGCAGACGATCGCAGCAACTTTGGCGCTGTGCTGGCGTTCAAGCCCCGCGAGCCTGTAACTGGGCGGATTGCAGCGCTTTCTCCAGATCTGCAACCTGACAACGACATAAGTGACATAAGCCAAACCAGTTTCAAACTGTCTTGATTCACTGAAGCCTCGACTTGAGAGGTGGCTACCAAAGCTGGAGGTGATAAGGGAGGCAGAAAAACTCGCTGTGCATGCGCTTAAACGCTCGTGCAGAGGCACTCTTTGGATAATCACCACTGGTAGTATCGATCAGGTTGCATCTGAGAACCCTGAAAGCTAAAACAGCGTCAAGTTATTGTGTCTCCTACGTTTGCATCCCTCATCTCCCATCGCGGACCTAAATAGGGGAAGCCCACATGGTCCGTGCATGCGCATGCCGCTGAGCGTGGATTCCAAACTAAGTTTTTGGAGGTCAGTGGAAGAGCTTTCGTCGTGCTGTGGCCTTAAGGTTCAGCGTCTGAATCTGCTGTTTGGCGAACGTCAGCTCGGCTTTGGCCTGCACGGAGGACTTCTATAAATCAGTCAAGAGCCACGACTGAGACAAACTGAAGCGCCTGTTCACTGGCTTTGGTCGTAACATCGAGCCTCATGGCTTCAAGCTGTCATCATCAGTCCATGGAAAAGCGTGGAAAGACCTGCTCTACTCGAGGCGCATGCTGTGCTTCGATTTGCGCCAGCTGGGTTTGCAAAGCATCCTCCTGAAAATGCATTGGGATCTGAACTTTCCAGGTCTTTGATATGGCACTCAGCAGCTCAAGAAATCTTCTGCAGCTCTTCCAGGTCCTGAGCCTCAGCAGTCTCGCGCTCTGCCTTTCGCGAGAAGAGCACGGGATCTCGACTGACTGAAAGCCACCGGTCAAACCATGCGAGCCTTGACCTGCATGCCGAGCTCCCTGCAAGGGAAGAGAGCACTACACAAAGAACAATCGGTGGCATTTCCCACCCCGACCTCAGGCTCACCTTTAACCTCTCCTTTTCGGCTTCGAGGCGGGTGATTTGCTCCTGCGCCAGGAAACACTCCCCTTAGGCCCTTAGCTGGTCTTCTGAAACGACTTGGCAGCGTCCTCCTTGTGCTTTACATCAGCTTCCAGCTCCACAGCTGTTTGGATGCTTTCAGCATCAGCTTGCCTGACAGATGGCAAAAGATTCGCGCAAAAAACACCACCTGTCTCCAACACAAGCAAGTCTATCGGCTTGATGCCCAACAGAAATAGCCTCGTCTCAATGGCTTCCAAGCTCCCGGCGTCAGTTTTTCTTGGAGCTGAGCTATGTCTGCAAGCATTTCGTTGCGGTTAGCCTGCAGTGATCTGCAAGGCAGGAGGCTCTCAGTCCGACCCGACTGTGCTGGCCTGCATCTGCTGCTGCGCAATCTGAGACATTTCGAGCTTGTCGTTGACTTCCGTATAGATCTCCTGAGCAAGCACTGATGCGGCACTGAGCACACTGACGCATCGGCGGGCACTCTCCTGGAGCACGGCGATCTGCAGTCGGAGTTCCTCACCCACTCCTTGGTCCAACACCCGAGTCGGGATTTCGAGTGTTCGCTCTACTTGCTTAGAGTTCGAATCCTTAGCCTTTCACGGAAGCTGCAGCAATTATTGTGCCTCGCTGGGGTCGCAACGTCGCTCCACCTCCAACTGTTCCTGCGTAGCATGCGGCTCGCATGGGTCAGCACATGTCAGCCTGTGGGGTGCCGTGCGCCTCCATCTTCCTCTTCAAGTCTTCCGCCCCCTTCTCGATCTGCGCAGCTTGCACGTTTCGCCTCTCCAGAGCGCAAGCGGCGCAGATCTGCAATCCGCTAGACCCTCGCCCTTTCAGCAGACAAAGCCACCTCTGCAGTTGCTCTTGAAGTTTCCGCTCCAAGTTGGCCTGATGCAGAAACCAGAGCACGCTAAACAGCAGTGTGAGGGAAGAAAAGAAACCGTGATCCAGTTTGTCTTCCTCTGTCGGACATCTGAACGGCAGGTTAGCCCCTCCATGTTGCTCTGTTCCGGGTTCTGCGGACAAAAACATTGAAGCCTACAAAAAGTTCCGCGAAAATCTGCCGCGTTCAGAAATCTTCAGCAGGAAGAAGCTGAGCACTTGAGCCCAGAAACTCAAACGTGTACGCAACCAGATTTGTATGCGATCTATCTACCGATTATCCGTCCACCTCTTCTTTGTCTCTCTGTCTCTGGCCCCGGTACGCCCAGGCCTCCATTCCATCGAAGAGTCCATACATGGCAACGGAACCTGGGCATGCAAACAGTACATGCACGTCATTGCGCAATTGTTTATGCGCATGGCATATGTGTAACTGCTTAACGTATATGTACGGTTTCACCCGTCCATGTGCACACATGGACCTGCCGTTGCACGTGAACAGCATCGAAGCTGGCACTTCAGAGCAACGAAGCGGCGCTCTTTGGAAATTTCTGCTGCCTACGAGGAACGAAGAGCTTCCCTTTTCAGCGTTGCCGGGCTCCCGACCACCACTCCTGACAAAAAGCAAACAAATATTAGTCTCATCAAACAAGGACTTGCTCATCCACCAACACGGCCCAACACGGCTCAGCTCAACGGAAGGAACGCAGTGCCTCCTCCGCTGTCGCAGTGCCACGAGAGCCGTCGCACCCAGCAAGGCTGCCGCACAAGAGACGCACGGCCTCGGCCAAAAATGATGATGTTTTTACTTCTTGCGCTTCCATTCCGCGCTCCGTCTTGATACGAGGGAAGAATCATGAGGCCTGCTAGCCTGACAGGTACGACATGCTTGCAATAATACGGACTGTAAAGCCGCCGAAACTCCTTTCAACCATTGCTGATCGATGCTACGAAATCAAGTCAGGAAGCAACAGCACAGCACTCCCACCGACAAATACCGCCGGCAAGCAGAGCTAAGCACGGAAGCTCCCTGACGTGGAAATCGCACTATTCCCTTCCCTGCTGCTTCGCGTGCATACATGAGTCTAAAAACCACTGATGCTCGGTTCAGCGAGATCGATGACTGGGTCTCTTGTATGCCTCCCTGTTGACTCATCTTGGACGAACCAATGTGTGCAAAATCTGAAGAAAAGTCTTCCCCTGCTTCCTGAGGAGGGTAGCATCAACTTGCAAAGCTTGCAGAAGTCTCTGGGATACCAACACAGCAGTGGGTGTTGCACTCGACGTGGCCTTGCGTCCGAAGCGAGCACGTCCGACTCTGTCCCTCCAACCGGCTCCCTGCATCCCCAGCCTGCTGAACTGCCGGTCTGTTTCCGGCCAAGCGAACACCTGCCAAGACGGCCCTGCCTGAGTTCTCATTTCACATGAAAGGCTTTCGTACAGCGGCAGCTCGCCTGGAACGACGAAAGCCGCTCCTGCAGCTCCACCTAGGCTCCCAAGCACAAGTCACAACAAAGAGAGAGAGAGGGAGAGCGAGAGAGAGAGAGAGAACGAGGTATGTATGTATATAGAGAGAGAGAGAGGGAGAGCGACAGAGGGAGAGAGAGAAAGAGAGAGAGAGAGAGGGAGACAGAGAAGAGAGCTATATATTTGTGCATTTATATTTTTATGCGGGTGTTGGTATACAGTACCGAGTTCGTGCATAAGGTAGCTGGATGTTGGAGCTTGGCATCACACAGAGCAGGGCCAGCACAGAGCGAAGCCTCGGGCGCCTCTCATGCCATGGATAGTGACAAGGCGATTCGCTCAACTCGGACGGGCGACAAGAGAACCTCTGGCTCGTCAAACCACAAATGCGCACTGTGCCATCAACGTCTGGCTGCCTCCCGGGATCTGCCATGATGGCTTGAGCGGAAAGCTACACGGCCCACCGCTCTCCGAAAGATTCTTCGAGCAGACGTCCACGCATCATCGGGTTTCTCACGGCTCGCGGACTGCCGGGGCTGCTATTGCTGCACATACGTAACAAGTGGAAATTGTTTCGTCCAGCCTGGAGATCTGTCACATGCAGCAGAGATTTTAGGCATGATACGCGAGCGACGAGCTACGACGTCCCGTAATTTTCGTACATCACGCGATCTGGACAAACTCCGCTTTGCCAGAGGAACCCTTCAGAGTGAGACGATCTCCAGCGCCGCGGCAAGCACTCCGTGCTTGCGTGATGCGGAGCTGTCTCACCTCGGGCTGTCAGGGTGCCTCCAGAACTGCTCAAACAGACCAACCGCCCAGGATTTCCTATTTTCTTCTCGCGCCGCATGGTTGAAATCAATGGAGAGCTGTTGCAGACCTGTCGGTGACAAAGCTCAGAGATCGCCAATCCGTGCATTCATTTGCACTTTTGGCTCCGGCTTCTGGAAAACAGGAGGAGCCGAGATGGAACGAGAGAGGGGCCTAAGGGTGATTGCCATGGCGATTGCCCTTGCCCAAGACCTCTCTATTATACAAGTAGTGGGGCTCAAAGAGCCTTGGTGCACTACAAATTAAATCAAGGTAGATATCAAAACGAACAATCAATTCAGCAGTATTGCCCTCATAGAGGGTGTTCAATCTGCTGGGTGGGAATAACTTCGGGGCTAGCCGGTCTCCATCTTTGTTTCATGGAAACAAAAACATCATCCCAGGGTGAGAATCATCTGGTTTGGATAAAATGAGGCCTAAGCCAGCCGAACAACGAAGACATCAGAACAGACAGAACATCTCAGATCAGGCCAGGGAATAAGTCGAAAGAACAAGATCAGCCAGCTGTGCATCTGAGAGGCCATCGCAGCAAAGCTTAGCAGACAGTTTCCATGCAGATATCCTGCAGAAAGGCATGACAAACCCCCAAACAGCAGGGTAGCTTTGAGCAGTGGTGTTAATGCCTGCCTTGCGCTCAATGCTGATTCCGAGCTTGGCCCGCCTTTGTCAATTTCGAGAGTGTCTGGGCATGACTGTGCCACTGAGTCTGCTTGCATTCCAGGCCACGCTTGCGCAACTACATCTGCAGAGATCTTTCCTTGCTTGGCAAGGCCCTGCAAAGCAGCAACCGCAACCTCAGAATTCCAATTGCACTTGTCAACGCACCATCTACGAAGATGGAAATCCACGCGGACTTGCAAAGGTTCGGACATGTGGCGACCAGAAAAACAGCACACGCCGTTTCAGAGAATAGTGCAGCCGAATCAGAGAACAGCGGAGGCCGAGTAGGGACACTACCCAAGAATTCCCGGGGATATCTGGGGATTTTAAACGGTGGCATGCAACCTGTTCAAAAACTCCATGCATAGCAGCTAGCAAGACAAACTTGCCGGAAGGCCTAACAGACTTTTCCCGAAAAGCCCACCCCCAAAAAAGGCTGCGGTTTGAAAGCCATAAACATAGAACTGAGATAAAAGCGAACATTATGGATACCACAGTTTGAATCGGAACAGCCCTGACAGACAACGAACTATTGAAAACTAATTGTGGATAGCAAACAAGAACCCCGTAGGGAATGACAATTCACGATGCAAATGGAAGTACCGCATCACACAATGTACACTTCCCAAGCTGGACCTTCCGCTCACAACGGACTGGGACGCGCCAAGACTTGGTCCAATAGCTTTGTATTTTGTGTGTGTGAGTGCGTTACATGCTGCTGGCCGAAGGCCGCATGAAGATGAAATTCTCGCCGCCGTGTGCGCTGCGCTTTCAGCTGGGCATTTGTTTTGGGAAGCGACATTGTGCGTAACCTGCGGTTCAGACGCACTGCACAAAACAAACCTCTAAGGCTCACCGTTTCAGGAAGAGGGAATACGTTTCAAGTCTTTTGTTTCCTGGCGCATCTTCATCGTGTCGGGATGCTGACACCTAGAGGCGAGTCAGGAACCAGGATAGAGCAAGTACGACAACCTGCTCTCCATCATGTCCTATCAGGGTATGGATTTTTGGCACCCACGGTGGGCGGGAAACCGCTAATGCAAACTCTAACCCCGACCCCAGAAATGCATAACCCCGACACCCTAAACCCTACAAGAAGTCGTGTGGGAAACCCCAAACGTTGAACCCTAAAACGAGACATCGCATGGGAAACCTTTAATCAGCAAGGCAGATAGTTGGCTGCAAGCCCTCAACCCTAAAAGGATATGTTGAAAGGAGATGGTTTTTTGATGGCTCCCCCAAACCCTGACTGGAAAACCACTGAACCCAACCAAGAACGAAATGCGGGAAACCCTCCTAAGCCTTGAACCCGAAAAAGAAATGTTGAAGTTGAAGGGAGATTTACTGTGGACAACCTAAACCATAAAAGGAAGATACAGGTGGTGATGGTGGTGGGCAAAACAAACCCCATAAAGACTTAGGTTTAAGGGCGGACTTCCATGGCCGATCTGCGTCAAAATCCAACTGAGTAAGAAATAAGATTGCAAGGCTTGGCGCATGTAACATGACACTACCGACGATGGGGTTCTAATGCTAGGACCAAAGAAACTTCGATGGTGTGCTCGCGTGGATCGCTACCTCCAAAAGACCAAAGACCGCGAGGAGATCTGCAGGAGACCACCAAGACACTACGGCAATGGCGGATTCGTGCCTTCCCCCATATACTGGCGGGATTTACGAGATTCAGAGTTCTCGAGGCCAAACGGTGGCCCACGCAGTGGAATTTTACAATGAATCTGGCTCTCCGGGCAAGGCCATCTGTGCAAACTATGCATCGCGCCAGTGGGAGCCATGTCCTGATCGTAGGGTCGTGGTGTTGGTTGTTGTCTTGGTTTTGGTGGCGGTGGTGGTGGTCGTCATGGTCGTCATGGCCGATGTGTTCCTCGATCACTGTTTGGGATGCTGTGGGGCGGCCCTGTTGTGCAGCTCGCTATTGGGAAATGCACGTTGAGACTAATGTCAAGCCCGCACGAGCAAAAAGAAGACAAGCTCTGCCCATACCCCATCTAATCAGGCCAGCAGGGAAGCTCCGACCTTATGGAAGGGCTGCGCTGACCCTCGGGTCAAACCGCAAAGTTGACAGCGGCTGACATAAAGCCTTGAAGGAGCGATGCAAGATGTCAAGGATGTGCTTTGTAGGACTAAAGCCCAGACGGAGTGCTGCGTGGCAAAGAACACACGCGCACGCTTGTGGGATTTCTGCAAGAGCACAAGGCAAGCAGAGAAGAGGGGTGAGGCGGGGTTGCTTGCTGTATCAAAAAAGGGACGGCTACCGATGGCTGGCAAATGCTGTAACCTTCTTGGAAACAACAGCGACGATAATCAATGCACAGCGAGTATTCTAGTTGCATTTACTTGCTTCGTCACGGCGCAGGTACGTGAGGTGGATCAGACCTTATATCCCGGCATCTTGACTGGAGCTTCGTTGTACCAGGCCAGTCAAGTGCCCCTGGTGCCCCTGCAGAGTAGGAGTGACCCTCTTTCCCTATGTGCTAAGGAAGCTCACACACACACACCCTAAGCTTGCGACTAAACCCTCAATGGATGGCACCGGCCCCAAACGGACTATTGTCTGGCAGAACCTGATAAGGACTAGTTTTGTGCTTCGGCTTTGAATGCGAAGGTAAGCGTACGTTCTTCGCGGATGTCTGTTTCGCACTCGTCGTTACTGCACAAATGCGAGAAGCACTTGGTAGGGTGACAGCCAGGTCACATGTTCCTTGTCCACCTCGAAGAAGCGCCGCAGGTTCTCGCGTGTATCCGAGCGGCCGAAGCCGTCTGCTCCAAGCACCTAAGTTGAAGACCCTGGCCGCAAAAGAAAATGCACTGCCTAACACGACCAAAATCGAGGCGCGATGAAATCGCCACCCACCCAAGGAGCGATCAGCTTTGGGTAGGCCTTGCAGAATACACTGGCAGAGCACAAACTGATTTCAATCTAATGGGGTAGCTGACTCGGGCTCGAGCTGTCATGTTGTCTGACACGGCCACAGTGACTTCTCCATCTCCAAGGCATTGTTCCACCCACGACGTTGGCGCCTGGAGACATCGGACGCAAGTCTTGGACAGCACTGCTGCGTGGCTGCTTTCGGCTCACCGGCTGGCATGTGACAGTTGGGAGACTGCAAGACTCGCAGACCTGGTTTGGCTCTAAGCTGCCGGCCTCACCACCGAGACGTTCTAGTCGCTGACACGCAATGGCTTCGCGCTGAAGCTCCCCATAACCTGGAATCTGTCATGCCTTTCTCCCCCACAGCGTCGTAGGGATCAGAATCATGCTTATTGCTTGACACCACCCACAAACAATCGCGGCGCTGACTGGAAGGCGAGAGACTCGTTGCACTCCAAAGCTCCACTCCAACACCTCGAGAGCCAAGCCACAGACAGAGTCAGTACTGAAAACACTAAGAGTCTGTGGCAACCACCGTATTCTGCAAGGATGCCAATAGCGTCCATGGCCTGGCTTTGGGTGGCCATGGGACTCGGGCCCGTCAAACAGAATTGATCACTCGCTCCGGACCTGCTTCATGATGGCGCCAGAACCAATGATCCGCACCTTCCGGTCCAGGCATGCATCTCTCTGCTTTGGGAGAAAGGGCGACGCGACGATTCTCTCGAAAACACAGCCCAAGTCAAAGACTAGTTAATGTCTGACCACTCCACATTTGTTCCGTCATTTGCAGGTCCCACTGGTTGACGAGGAATCTCGTTTCGAAGCAGCAAACCCTCTACCGGCAACTCGAGGGTTAGAAAAGACCGAGCCAAGTCTTAGAGATGCCACGAAAAGCAGCGTACTTATCGCCATTTGAAGGACCCACGCCCGCACAAAAAGACTTCGGGGTTCGATTAATGAGAATGACGAGCTGATTTTGATAGCACTGCTTTTTCTACTAGTCGGTCGTGTGAGAGTCCCTCATGAAAGTTGCCTTTTTGTGTAGCTGCCCTGCACTCGCTGTTGTCCCACGAACTGGCCAAGCACTTGGTTTCCCTGATGATTGCTAAGATGTGGCACAAAACCCGACTTCCGAGAGTCAAGCCTTGTGGTCTCCGCTCTTGGCGTCAGAGAACTTGTACAAGCCCTTGACGATGCCTTCGTCCACACCCTGCACAGAATGCTTGAGGCGGGTGATTGGTTCCCAAATTCATTGACAAAGAGTGCCTCAGGCTTCTCAGGCATTGCCATATTCTCATTGTAGGCCGTGACATAATAGATGACATCCTTGTCCTTCCAGTCATCCAGCACTGTACAAACTGCAAGCTTTCGGCTGAAGGCTGCAACCAAGCTGCCTCGCCCCACATCTCTTTCACACCGTTCTCGATGATTGCGGCCATTTCGTAGCCAAACGCAGGGTCGTATCCCTTCACAGCCTCAGATTCGAAGCGCACAGTCGGAACTTGCTAGTTTCATGAGTAGAGTGCCCAGACCGATTGCGTGAGCTGCATGCTCCCACGCAAGCTTTTGGTGATGCCTTTTGCAGACCGCTCCGTCAAGGACATTTTTGAAGCCAGCGGCCGGGCAGGTGTGCGCGATGAGCAGCGAGTGCCCATCCTGGCTGCGCGGCAACAAGGGAACCGAGAGAATGAGAAACCGTCAAAGACAAATGATAGCGTTACAAGTAGTTCACAGAAGCCAAAGAGGCCTTCTAGTTTAAGTCCTTCGAAACGAAAATGTACCTTGCGTTGATCCACCGAGTGAGCTGTCCTGGTGCTGCAAGCCTTCTCCGTTCAGGGTGGTTCGACCGTATGTCGCACCAATGAGGAAGCCACGGGCTCGTGCATCTGCAGCCTGCCAAATGCTGTCGCCAACCTCGGGCAAGAACAGCAATCGACGTACAGTCGTCCCTCCGAAGTCTTGCAGCTGAGCTACACGTTGAAATCCAAACCTTGCTGGCCAGATAGGAACAGTGCGAAAACATGCAAACACCATCGGGGGTTAACGGTGAGCTCAAAGTATTCGTGCAGCAATGAAGCATTGAGTAGTAAATCAAGAATGGCAGAGTCGGTGCGTGCTGCGACGCATAAGACGTCGCCGACGCGATCCAGGTCATGATAGCACCACCCTCACCTGGATGCTGGATGCACTTCAGCTCATGTTTCCGGTCTGAGAGCCCCTGCCGTTGCTCTCACGCACTAGGTTTTAAATCCGACAGTTTAGGGACTTACTCGGACTAACTTGGGTCATACGTCCCAGGATTGGGCTGAAGCTGCTGTAATGTGACTATCAAATAACTGGTACACGGTGAGGCTTGTTTGCACAGCTTGAGAATCACACAAGCACATTTATAATTTGATGTTGAACCTTCTTGAAGATTGCAGGGACGCCGTTTGCGGACCACATTCACCACCCACACCGTGTCGAGAGAAACTCGCGCTGGCGCTCTCCGACCAGGAGACAAACGTTTGCTTACGTCAGGCATCATCATTCAGACTCACCACACCAACACATTGCCAAGAGTCTTCTGGTTCCAGGTTTCAGCATGCCCCCGGTTCCGATAGGAAGCGAGGGATACGGTGCTGCAGCGACTGGTAAACGCTGTCTTGACGCTCGTGCACACGCGCTCGCAAACTAGCCTGAAATACTGAACAACGACAACGAGTGGTCTTGACCCGTTTCCTTCGCTTGAACAATCAAAATACCTGCATCCGCACACATTCTGTTTTCTACGCTTCTCAGAACTTCCACAAGGTCCCAGCTAGCATGCGTTCGACCATACAGGCGGAGGCAGGAGCCCCGGCCGTGAATCAGACATGCGCCCTTTGCCAGGTCAGCTAGGGTCATTCACGCAAGTTGGCCTTTTCCCAGCCTAAAGCCTGAGCCACGTCTCATGCCGTCTCATTCGCAGGCACGCGGGCTGCTCCCTCCCCCGTTTCCTGCTAGACCGTTTGTCTTGTGATGGTCTAGACAAGGGTATGCTGACTTCGGCACTTGCAGATACTCTCTTCACAAATGTGGCATCGCGGCCCTCCGCACAAGCATCTCATGAAAGGTAATGAAAGCAGCTGGAATCGTCTGCAGCTTCTGAAGCCAATCGAAGCAGACGGCAGTGGAAGTGTACTGAGCGGGAGGGTCTTTTATGGAGATATTGACCAAGTGCATCAAGCCCTGATGACTGCCAAGACCAATCACCCCTCAAACCCTAAAACTCTTGAACCCCAAACCCGAAAGCCTTTTAAACTCTTCAACCCTAAACCATCCCAAAACCTAAACCCCAAAATCCTTAAGCACTAAAAACCCTTAAGTGTTAAAATGCGTGCCCAGATATGTTGCATTCCCTGTTTGGCCTACGGCCTAGCAGTGGGGCCTTCCTTCAGTCACAGGTGTGAGAGCATGTGGGCAGGATTCGGCAAGACTGGCACAGATGCGTGCAGTTGTGACAGTCACCATGCATCTTTACTGCCTTATGCACCGCTTCAACAGCCAGCAATAAAGTTGAGACTGCCTCGCCCTGTTCCGTCTGTCGTCACATCAGTCATCATAGCAGAAAGCTGAGGCCATCACTGATGCCTTCTTGCAGAATCTGCCCGCTGGGTGACTCAGCGTACTTCATAACCTGATCCAAGCAACCAAGCAAGCCGTCAAGCAAGCAAAACATGCCGGGCGCCTGATCCGCATCCACCGGCGTGTAGTTCTGCCCAAAGGGCGCATGGATCTTAAAGATCGGGAAGAATGCATCGATCCCGAAGGTTCGTGACCTCAATCAACCACAGGTACACATGTCGCACAACCCGAACCTTGCCTACCACAGCGCATGCGCGCGACATGCTAAGCATCCCTCTCATCTGTGACCATCAGTGTCACTCGCTGTCCGAACTCACCAGCCTGGATTCCATGCTTCCAGAACAACCAGGGCCACATCTTAGCTGCTTCTCGAGCACATGCCTGCATCATCTTTCTCAGAATCTGCGCAAAGCACATGGTCGTGCTGATCTCTCTGCCTTTAGATCCTGATGTGGCTCGATTCTTCATGTCACAGGCAGACGCACACATGGAACCTTAAAAAGATCTTGCCCACAGCATGCGAGTCAGGACTGCTAGATAGACGAGGGAAATCTGCTGCAGTATCGTGCAGGGTTCTTTGCGGCGCATAGCTGCCACTGCAAGTAATGCTAGTACCGATGACTGAGGCGATTCCTGTCACAAGTTGCGGGTCCTGTGTCAAACATATCGTAGACATCGTGCTTGGGCAGCTCGACCAGCGCAGAAACCTTCCGAGGAGTTTTGCAACTCGAACTCGATGCTGACCTACGCAACTGACCCCACCACACGACACGCAGCCCAGCCACTTTCGCCGGTGCTCGCAGAGGAAGGTAGCCTCCCAGAGCCTGCCGACGCTCCTTCAGGTACTTGACCTGCCGAAGCAGGCGGTGGACTTCGCAGTCCCTACAGCCCCCCCTGTCTCTTCGAAACCCCCCCCCCTAACGAATCAAGCACAATTGTTCACATCCCAGCCAAAAGCGTTGGTATTGCCTCTGGAGAGTCCTCCTTGAGCGTAACAAAGTTTTCTGCCTGTAGGATGCCAGAAATTGGCTCCTGCGGAACGAGCTTTGCTGGGATCCAGGCATCTGCTTTGCCCAGCTGCTCATCTGACAGAGGAATGCCCATGGCATCACCTGCAGGAGCTGGAGTCTGGAATTAACCAGAGCTCTCAGGGATGGAACTGAGAAGCCCGGATCTGGCAGCTGGGCACGCCACGATACGCTTTCCTTAATCAAGCACAGAGTCTGTTCTTTCCCAGCCCCAAGAAGCCTCACAGCCCTGATCCCTGAAAGGCTGAGATCCGAACATGTCGGAGTCTGACATCATCTTCTTCTGGTGAACCGTGTTTCTTCCGAGGAAGGTCTGCAGACTGTAGCCCTGTGCGTGGCAGCAGCAGCCACAAAGTGCTTTGCCCGTTTGGGGTGCCATGGGCCTTGAGGGTTTTGACGAGAATCACCTGAGAGCAGCGGTCCATTGAGAAAGCCACTGGAACAAGCCCGCGTGCTTTGTCTAATCCGACTACTGTATCTTTTCCGCTCATTGTTCGTTCCAGGATTGAACAAGTAGGAAGCGTCCGTGAGGTGAAGAAAGAAAACCGTGAACGAGATCAGGAACAACTGTGTGGAAAGGAATTGCGTTCATGTAATTCGCTTCATATCTTGGTCGTGTTTCTGTGTTGCGTTCATGTAGTAAGGAATGGAAAGATCTTGAAGAAACTGAAACGCAACAACAAACACTAGAGAGCCTAGGCGCTGTCGGTCGGCCTCCCATCTCCGAGTTCTGCTCTGCCTTCGACCGCAAAGGCTTGCAAAAAACAAACAAACAAACAAACAAACAAACAAACACACACACACAATGCCATGCGACGCCATGCTTGGCGCGCCTGGGCAAAGGCTGCATGGATCTTGGAGTGGTCGTGGCCACCGGGGACCTGGAAGGCCTGCAGATGTCGGCAGAGCCTCCTTCCTACCATCGCGGCCCTCTCTCTCCTCATTTTGGGAGCTCGTTTGGGGCTTCGCCGGCTCTTCCCCGGACCTCCAGCAGCTCCGCATCGCTCCAGTGCGCGACACGGTCCAGCAGCCCGTGCTTCTCGAAGATATCCTGCCACAGGGGATGCAGCTCGAGCGGACCAGCCAGGGAGGGAGCCCGGGGTGACTTCTGTTGCCTTGCGGATCAGCGCACCATCGGCCTGGAGCTAACACGTCACGAGGCGTGCACGGCGACATGCGCAGAAAACTGCAGTGCAACCTGCAACACCCACAAAAAGCATTCCCTCCAGCGCTGCGCCTTTGCATGGAGACGCTGGCAGTCGCCATCCACTGTGGCTTCTAGTGCCTCACACAAGAATTTTGAGCCTGAAGCTTCTTGGACTCAGAGTTCTGTGAGCCTCAATGAGCTTGCCGTCGTGGTCTTGCTCAATGAGTTCGTTGAACTTGCCGCCCCAAATAAGCTTGATGACATCGAAGCCAGCTCCGCGGAAAGTTCCCTCGTACTCCTGCATGACTTTGGAATTGCCGCGAACCGGACCGTCCAAGCGCTGGTAGTTGCAGTTCACGATGAATATCATGTTGTTCAGGCGCTCTCTGCCTGCCACCGAGATGGCCGTGATGGACTCCGGCTCGTCCATCTCTCCATCACCCACGAAGGCCCAGACACGGCTCTTGGAGGTGTCTGCCAGACCTCTCAAATGAAGATACCGAAAGAAGCGTGCCTGATAAACAGCGCCCAAAGGTCCCAGCCCCATGGACACTGTAGGATTCTCCCAGAAATGTGGCATCAAACGAGGGTGCGGATAGCTTGAAACGCCATTGCCGGCGACCTCCCGTCGGAAGTTCATGACCTGGTCAATTGAGAGCCGACCCTCGACAAAGGCTCTCGAGTAGGCTCCGGGTGCAGCGTGTCCTTGCATCCACACGCTGTCCCCTCTTCCATTACCGTAGTCCTTCCCTCGGAAGAAATGATTCATTCCGACCTCCAAAACGTCACAGATGGATGCGAAAGTGCCAATGTGACCTCCAACCCCGCCACCGCGCCTGTTTGCGTCGCTGACCATGACTGCTGCGTTCCAACGGATGATGTTGGAAAGACGGTCCTCCATGGCCCTATCACCTGGATACGCCGGTTCGGCAGAGGTGGGAATGGAGTTCACCATGGGAGTGACTACGGGTTGCGAGATGTGCACACCCAGGCGTGATGCTTCTTCCATAAGCTCATGCATAAGGAAGCGAGCCCTTGTCGTTCCCAGGTTCTGAACAACTGCATCAAGCGACTCCAGCCACTCGTGAGTTTCCGCCTCGTCAAACTTAGGCCTCGCCGCCCGAAGTCTCTCCTGGTTTGACGGAAAATGCCCTGTGTGCTGATGCATGAAGGCCAGAGACGCCGAGAATGCAGGCATCTCTCCTTGCAGCCCTTTGGCAAATTCTCCATATGTGATAATGCCAGACTTGTCGGTGTCGAAGTGCGCGAAGAGAGACTCGCTCTCTGGATCGCTTAGCTTCAAACCCACAGAGGCCATCGTCTCCCGAAACTCCTCCGGGTCCAAGCCCTTCGAGACGTTCTGGTCAGCCTTTGCAAACCAAGAAGCTGACAGAGACGACAAGGTCGTAATGCCTTCCTTGGCAAATATGTTGCCAAGCTCGGACAAGAGATCAGGGGGTGAGCGATTGCCGCCGATGCCCACACCTGAGGGTGTGCCTCCATGTCGCCAGTGGAGGGCCATGCCGCGGGTCACTTGACGCAGCACCATCGGCCTCCGAAAGACATGGCCCCGGCAGAGGCGAGCGGCCAAAGTCATGCCACCACCCCTGCCAAGGACTGGCCAAGGCAATCTACGGCACAATCTAGATACTTAACTGAGAAATGGCACACGGAAGACGCACAGTTTATGCAGAGTATCAACAGCTCTCCCATCACACATCTGCCTGACGTGGGAACAGTGGCCGGAGTTACACTCTGCTGAGGTCCCCGCGCCGCTGCCGTCGGAGTCCTCCAGGAACAGCTTCTGTTGTCGGCCTTTGGATGTCTTCTGCACTGTGAGCCTCCGGGTGTCGAGCCCGAATAGGTCGTGCTGTCTAACCATCTAATCAAAAGCATCGGCAGCTGCAATGCCAGCTGCATAGCCAGTCGACCAGCAACCTTGGAAGTTAAAGCCGCCTGTGATACCGTCGATGTCCACGATCTCCCCCGCAAAGTGAAGTCCTGGACATGATCTCAACTCCATCCGGTCCCAATCGAGCTCTCGCGCGTCCACACCACCTGCAGTAACGAATTCTTCCTTGTTCGTTCGACGGCCACGAACCTCCACCTCGAGTGCCGTGAGGTGATTCCAGAGTGCAAGTGCAAGACACTTGCCGGCGTCTGGAAACCCGAAGACAGCCCACGGCCACTGTGTTAGCGGCAAGCCGTCTACCCTGTACTGCCGCACGAAGGGTCTGAACTTGCTGTTACCTTCCTCGGTTTCGAGCTTTTGCAGCAGCCGTCCCCAAAGCCGGGCCGGCAATAGCCCTGGCCAGGGTGACACATCTCCTACTGGCTTCCGTCGCACTGGAGGACGGTTACTGCGACCCAACGGGACAGCAAGTATCGCTTCGACGGCATCATCGAGAGTCAGTGATGGAACCCAGTTCACTCTCAACCTGACCCGATAACCAGCCTCTTGAAAAGCAAAGGCAGCCCAAGCCGAAAGACGCAAAATTGCGGGCCCAGATAAGCCCTCATGGGTAATTAGCACTGCCCCGCGAATGCGCGGAAGATGCTCGCCGACGAGTTCGAGGGCGGCATCTGGCACGCTGAGTCCTTGTAAGCCTGCTAGGTCACGGGAACTTGTCAAGACGGAGAACAGTGATGGAGCCAGCGGGCGAAGTTGGGCACCAGCATCACGCAGCAACTTTTGCACAGAGCGCTTTTGAGCTGAACCCATGCACAAGATGGCACGCCTGCAAAGAATGGCTTGCTCCCCAGACGCAGTTTGTACTTCGAGAGAGAATCGTGTGGGTTCTGCGGACGTCCTGTGCAATGCGCAAACTCGGCCTCCAAGTAGCATTCTGATGCCAAGGGAGGCTGCCGTGTTCACCAAGCAGTCAACAATACTCTCAGACCTATTTGAGACAGGAAACACTCTTCCGTCCTCTTCTGTTTTGAGCTGAACTCCTTTGGATTCAAACCACTTGGCGGCATGCACCGAACCATGTCGCAGGGCAAGGTGAGCCATGACCTCCGAGCCTCGAGGGTAGCTGCTTTCAGTTGAAGCCACCGGACTATGTGTAACATTGCATCGACCTCCCCCAGAGATGCTGACTTTGTGGAGAAACTTTGAAGAACTTTCCACAATCAAGATCTCCTGTCCACGTCGCAGTGCCGTTGCGGCAGCTTCAGCGCATGCAATTGCTGCATAAAACCCAGCAGCTCCACCACCAACAACACAAAGCCCAACAGAGTGGGGAGAACGGGGCAGCGTGCGGACAATCGACATGAAGCTAATTGGCACGAAGTCTAAGCCTTAGTTTGACGGACATGAAGAGCAAACCCCTGTTCCATAGTCTACGGAGGGGAGCTGTGACACGAGAACGTATTGGGGAGGAACACAGACAGCCATCAAGTCTTTGCCTGACCCAGGCTGCGGCACGGAAAACGGAGCCGTGGCAAGCTGCGCGCGCAAAACACGAAACAATGACCACACCACCAAAGGCTCGGAAACAGTAACCAGTGTAAACCCCCGATGCCCAGAAAGCTGCAACGGGACTGAAAACTCTGCAAAAGCCAGACCTTGGAAGAGGACTGCCCTCGACGCTCGTGATGCAAACTTGGCTCTAACATGTCATGACAAAGCGTGTAGCGGGGTCATGCACCCAGGAAGCTGGAAGGCCTATATGTCACAAGCTTCCGAAGAAGCTTCTTGAAACGAATCGAAAGCGCTTCTTGTTTTCCCAGAAGCACATTGCAGAACGCCCCCTGGCCAGGATGATGCTGAGTGAATGGGAAGACGTGCTGAAAACCGAGGTCGTTTCTTCTTGTCCACTGTGACTTGGTACTCATCACCTGTCGAAGGTCAGCAGAATCTTGCCGACAGCTCTGCGGCTCTTCTGCCTGTCCATTGCTTGCTCTATGGCGTCACTGGACTCCAAGGCATCATACTTGGAGTCAATGGGCACTTCGGTCAGTTCACCAGAATCGAAGAAGCTATTTAGCTTTAGCATAAGGGTTTTGGTTGGTAGCAGAAAGTACCAATCGTAGCCTTCTCGCTGCAATTGCAGTCCAAATGGTCGAGTGAATCCGTCCCAGAAAGCGCGGAACTGGTCTGAAGACTTGGGACATGGCCCTATCGCCAAGTAGGTTCCGTTGTCTTTCCGCAGTGGCCCCAGCATGGGCTCGTAGTTAGGATCCTCTGGAGCACTGCTTGTGACCGTGTCGTAGATGACATCAAAATAACGGCCCTTCGAAAAGAGGCCAGCCATCTTGAAAGGCTGCTTGTAGTCGAAAACGGCATCAACGTTAGCATGCAACTGCTTGACGAAGTCGATATTCTGGCTTCCACAGATGCCGGTGACCTTTGCACCGATCGCACCTGCCAACATCACTCCGAACTGGCCGCATCCACCCGACGCTCCCACCACGAGCACCTTCTGCTTTGGGCCGAGCCCACTGCGCTCGTAGCCCATCAGGGTGGTAAGACCCGCGACACCGAGGCCAGCAGCTTCCTCGAAGCTCAGCTTTCCAGGGATTGGCACGGTCAGAAAGCAGGGCACCACAGCAAATTCTCCTGCTACGCCGATCGAGATACCCCACACCTTGTCCCCCGCCTTCACGTTGCATGCTCTCGACGTGCCGGCTGAAAGCACCACACCCGACACGTCGTATCCTATGGGCCAGTCTTTGCGCAGGTGTCTGATGAAAGGCCACGTGGCAGTAATCATGGGGTGCTTGAAGTTGGACGGATTCAGTGCCACCGCTTTAACTTGAATCAAGACTGAGAAGGAAGAATGATGAGGAACGGGTATGTCGGCCATTTTCCAACCAATATCTTCTCCGACTGTGTAGACAGCTGCACGCATGGTAGTGCGGCCAACGATTTCAGACGTGTCATACGTCAGCTGATTCAGATGCAGGCTGGACCCCCTCAATGCCTCAAAACCTCCCAGTAAAACTGCTGCAGCAAGCGCCTGGCAGGAGATGCATGTCAATTTCTTGGAACAACAGCACGCAAGTAGAAGCACGACCGCCACAGTTGATGCCTCTACGGCATATATTGTCGACTCCAGGGACATCGCGTACCGAGACACATGGGCTTGAGAGCTTGCACATCTGAGAAAGACATGACAGAACAGACAAAACCGTTGCAGCCTACAGCAACCGGCTGGTATTTTTTAAGAACATCTTCAGGATGCGGGCGCAGGATTTCTTGGAGCATTTCCAAGTTTGTGCTCGCAGGCTCAGAGGTGCGGTAGGAGGCTGACCGAGGAGCCACCACATCAATCAGAAATTCAGATCTTGGAGATCTGGTTTGGCTTGACCAGCACAGAAGAGTCCTCTTCACGTAGAATGGCACAACATGGCTCGCCAGTCCGAAGCACCAACCCGCGCCTCATCCACCAGAGCGACCTCGAATTTGCCAGTGGTGGCATCAAGTTTTCTGAGCACACCAATCTTCCCATCCAGCTTGTCATCTGCGGTACCCTGCAGCTTGACCTTTACATGGACAAGCCATGCTTCGAGCAACGATGGCTCCTCAACATTGCTATAGGACTACATAGCTGCAGGTGCCTTGTCGCCAGGTCTTAGCAGCACAGGTTCGTCTGCCCCGGTGGCTGCCTTCTGCTCGTCCTTTCCCAAACCAAACGGGGTTTCCTTTTCTGCCTGACGGAATTGGTGCACTCATGGAAGTGTTAGAGTTCGCCTCAGAACAAGCTCGATTGGCAAATCTGCCTGCTTCTCGATTTCTGAGAAGTCCCAGCCGTCCTCAGACTGACGCGGACTCTCATCATTCATCGACAGAAGCAGAAGGACTCTACATTCCATCGGGACTTCCCTGGCAAGGCACATATTCCCGAAGACGGCCGACAACAGGATATTTCACAGTGAAGTGCTTGTACCAGCCGGCAAGAGCCTTTCGCTGGTCTTCAGTGAACTGAGCCAAGGTGAAGTCGAGTTTGTTTGCCTGACATTCCGAGGCTGGCTTTCGGAACTTTCGGCTGCCGATGCTAAGCGGTCGTATGGGCGGGGCGCATCCTCCGGCTTCAAGGAAAGCGTGGCCAAGGCGAAGGTCGCATCCTTGCCCGCCCAGAGTCGCCCGTAGCCCTCGCCAACCTCGCAAACAGAAAAGAGTAAAATGCAAGGAGAGGAGTGAGAATGCAGAGAAAAATCCAAATCTGGGCATCACCGAGCTGCGGTGATGTTCTCACTGCTGGATACATTCACCTTGGCAGCACTGACTTAAGCGCCGCTCACAAACAGACGTCAAGATGCTCCAAGCGCATTCCAAGGCTCGACTTTGCCACAAACGCCCATGAAAATTGGTCCCGTCACGCCGTTAAATCTGCCCAGCAGCTGCAAGTCGAAGAGGCCATCCTTGCGAGCCGACACGCGGAGAATCTCAGACTTCGCTTCTCTGCTCTGCTCTCTTTCGAGCCAAGGCTCCACTGGGATCTTGGTTGTTCGCTTTCGTCTTAAAAAATAGAAAAGCAGGATGACTGCCAGCCCCAGAATAGACGTGCTCGCAAGGAGAGCGGGATTGCGGACGGCGCCTGATTCAAGCTTTGTCCATTCAACACAGGCACAACTGTTCAACCAGGCAAGGTGGAATGAGGAAGGCACCCATGGACACGCTCTCAGCCTCCACTTGATCCATCCGCTGCGTCTCTTGTCCTGCCTATGATGCCTGTGAGCCTATTTCATGCTCTTGCTTGGACTCTGCTCGAGCCTTGTCAACGTGGTTCGCCCTACACCTCGGTATGTATATGAACGTACGAGGCTTTCTCTTGTTGAGCACCAGATGGCCTTGGAAGCAACGCCAAGCTACTCGACTTGCACCACCCATTCCGACATCATGATTAACTTCAAGGAGAGTCATTTTGTGGAACATTACAGATAAGCTTGCACGGTTTGACTACCTCTAGCATGTACCTCGTCGCGCACGTGCTCGAGAAACACTCCCAGGGTATGGCATCCGCAAGTTGGGGCCAGTAGCACGCCCTCACCCTAGACGCTCTGCGGGAAAAGCCACGTACCACAACTCGATTGGTGCTTTCATTCATGTCTTGAGCGGGACAAGCTTCATGCGACACAAATGCCTTTGCTCGGATCTTCTTGTTTCTTCTAGTTGCATGACCCTCGAAATCTTGCAGTTGGCCTGCAAACCCCTGCTCTGCACATTTCTGCATGACTCGTGCATGACTCGAACATGAGGGGCACCGGCATTTTGTCGTCCGATCTGACTCCGCAAGGCTTCGCGTTCCTGTTCCCAGCCTCTGTGATGCGGTCACGTGTAAAGCAGGTCCTCGCACACCCCGCTGCCGGCTGGGGGCGTACTCGGAGCCCGGCTCTGTCGTTCCTCGTCAAACTCTTGGAAGCGTGCACACGCCTGCAGAAAAGGAAGTGTCAGGGTAGAGAACGGATGGAGAGCACAAAGCCACAAGCCTGTTTTAGGCGCTGGTCCATGTCAACAAGTCGATGCTCCGTGTCCTTGGGATAAGGAGCTTTCCTTGGTTCGCTGTCGGGCTCCCCACTCCAACGCTCAGTCGCCTTGTCTTGCAACCCTATGCCGCAGATTCAAAGCCAAGCGACAAAGCCTGGACATCCAGAGAGTCTCTCCTTCAGCCAAAGTATCAGGAACACAGATGCACACAGACAGACACACCCACACACACGCACGCCCTCGCGTGTAGATATCACTTCTCCGCTTTTCTGTCCGGTGCGAACCAGGCACACGACTAGCCCTTTGTCAGAACCAACCGAACACACGCGACATAGAGATATCACCTCTCAGGGTATGTCATCAATGCTTGTTGTCCCATTGCTTGCCCAACCGCCCTTGTCAGCAATACCCTTCATAGAGGAACCTTTAGTAGGGAACATATTTTCGCTGAAATGTGATGCACTAAGACCAAGACCGCACATGCACATAAAGCCGTTATGCTATTCGATGATTGCTGCACTGGGTCTCCAGGCATGTTGCAATCCATCTTCTCGAACACCCTGCACAAACCTCTGCTTTCGTAGAATCATGCAGGACGTCCGGTTTGTTAGAACAATATAGACGCCAGCCAACCAGCAGCAACAAGACCTAAAAACACCTCATCCGTAGTAGTTACACACAATCGCAGACAAACAAAGACACACAGAGAGCGAGAGAGAGACAGAGATAAATATTATATATATATATATATATATACGTATAGTACATACATATGGGAGTTTCCGAAAATTAGGGGTACCTAACTTTGGGGTCCTTATAATAAGGATCCTATTATTTGGGGTACTATTTTGGGGTCCCCTATTTTCGGAAACACCCATATATTATACATGTACTATATGTCTCAAGACACGCACACACAGGCACCCGCACAAAAACGGGCTACACACCTTAAGACGCACGTAGTTTTTGCCGCAGCATGCTAGGTGTGTTCACACGGGAAGGTCCCCTTCCAGCTCAGCACATTCGAGGACTCCACGTGTCTGCTGCGTGTCCGGAGATTTTGCGAGTCTTCGAACATGTCGATAGTAGGAAGTAAACTAACTAAACGATTATCTGGAGGCGAGCAGCAGTAGCTGTACGTTGATCTGGGCTTCGCTGAGGTCATGCTGCAGCTGCCGCACCGTTTTTTTCAGCTGGGCATTCCTTGCGGCACCAATGATGATCCAACTGTCACCAAGCCCTGTGGAGATGGGGAAACATCCGATCGCATTGTCTTGCCCAGTGGCTCCAGCTCCAGCTCCTTGACGTAGGAGATCCTTTGCTCCTGGTCCTGTCATCTCTGCTATACTTTGCCTGACTCTGCGAGGTGCCGATGCTGCTCCTCGTTGCCATGCCGGTGCTGCCCGCCCTGCAACTTGGATGCAATGGTTTAGGCAAGTTGAAGATAGTTGAAGTGTCGGTGCACCGAGCCTCCAGAAGCAAGTCACTTGCCCATCGCTTCACCTTCGCCGCGCTTGCCTATCATAGGACAAGGCACCGCGTTTTTTGGATCCAAGATGCCTCGCTGCCTCACTGCTTGAGTGAGAAGGAGAACCAGGCAGCACGAAACCCAGCTGGGAGCCGGCACCAGCCTGCAACCAAGGAAATGCACTCGCATCCGCATGCATCCGTACGCATCCAGCTGTCAGCCCAAGGCCCAAGGCGCCTGCAAGAAAGTCAGAAGACTTGCCGCAGCACCGGCCATGCGAGCCACGGCTGCTGGGGTCTTGCCTTGCCTCGGTGCTCCCAAAACGTAAAAAGCCCTAAACCCTTCGAGGCTGAGATCCGCTAAGATTCCGATCTCGTGCATTGATGTCAGCTCCACCGCTGCACAACAGAAGCACTGCTTTGGCCTTGCAAGGTGACGTTCCGAATCGATGTGTAGTCTACAACATCCGGGACACTGCCCAGAACAACCGAAGTCGCATGTACGATCTATATGCTGTCAGACGGTGCAGAGTCTAGCACAAGTACAAATCACGAACTGGCTGTCAGACCTCACGCACGTCACACTCTTCCAGTGCTGCTGTCGCCGCAGCGCTGTGAAGGGGGGTTACCTTGCAAAGCAACGCATGCCGACTCAACGCTCAGCTGCTTTTACATGCTACCCGCGGATTCACGTGCACACAAAAATGGCCAGAACGAATACAGAGTGCCGCACCCCGAAGTTGTTCGCAGCTGATGGGTCAGCTAGAGCCTGACACAGCGGCGGCAAAAGACATGCCGTGCAGCCGGAGACCTGCAGCTTGCGACCCGCCGGGGCGGAAGGACTGAGAGGAGGCTGCCGAGCCGTCTAAGCCCTAAACATCCCTAAACCCTAGCCCTGACTCGACCACGGTTTACTCTCAACACACACCCTCAGGCTGTTTCCTGCAGAATCTCGGCCCACTCAACCATGTAATTGAGACTTCTCGGTGCCAGGGACTGTGGGCCTTCAGAAGGAGCTCGATGGTCGGCAGCTGTTGATAGCCGCATGCGAGATGAAGAGGGGTGTCCGCCTCGTCCTCAGACTCGAAACCTTCTCCTTTTGCCTGACATTCCTACATGCTTATGCTCGGCCGAGAGACCGTGAGAGCAGCTGGGCTTGCAGCCGCATCCAACCTTGTTCCGGCAGCAACTTCGACAAAGTGCTGTAAGATGTGGCAATCCATGGCAATCCCAGTGACAGGAGCTGCACGATCGCAGGGCTGGAAGAGGCAGCGATGTGCAACCTTGTTGTCAAGTGGCACCACCGGCGCTGTGGCGGATCCACTGAGCTAAGACCGGGACGCCCGATAATTGTAGACGCCTGGTGGGCTATCGTCTGCACTCATGAGCTCGGCCGCTGTGGCAAGAAGTCAAGGAGCGCTATCCTGTGATAGCCTGGCCTGCAAGATTTGGATCAGCGTCCAACTTCAGAAGGAAGTCGACCACGTCCGCATGACCACATAGGGCCTGCAGCTGCTTACACACCACCCGATCCGGCCCTTGCATGCCACGGCTACTGTGGTCGCGGCTGCAATGTGAAGTGGGGTCAGCTCGCGCTGACGTGAATGCAGCTTGACCACCGTCGCCTCTAGCCAGACACTGCTAATTCTCGACCTGCTTCCACGCTCAGAGGCTCGGGCTTTGGACCGCTTAGTCGAAGCTGCGACTTTCTCTATCGATCCCTGCGTGGCGAGAGCGTCAAGCCTGTGAAAAATCCACGGCCATACCCAGGCCTCCCAACACGAGATGTGGACCGGGCTACTGGAGCCGTATCTGTGTGTCAGCAGCTGCAGGAGCTGATGGGCATGCTTCCTGAGAAAGTATTTTTGGCATACCCACGAAGAGTCGGAAACAGTCTGCAGCTTGGGTTCGTTGTGTTTTGAACCGTGCGAAGCGTCATAGTGTTTGCCAGCCTCACAGGCTCGAGCACAGCCCGTCGTCGATGTTTTAGAGCAGGCAGCACAGCCTGGTCTCCCATTCTTCAGGCAGGGATAGATCCGCCTTGGTTTCCTGCGCCGATTCAGCTCGCCTCAAACCTTGCTACTCTTCGATACTCTGCGTGCGTGCATGGATGCAGTCCTTGTCAGACTCTGGCACAGGACGTGGTCCACTGCCTGGGATGCTTGACACACGTCACTCTCTGACAACAAAAAGAACACTTTGTCTGACCTGAGAACTGGACACACACGGCTGCTGCCACTGGTCTGAGCAGCACAGAGCATTACCCAAGACAAGTTGCAAAAGGCCCTTCTGAAGGCTCCCGGCTGTGCTAACTCTGCTGCTGTGTGCCTCCAAGCGACAGTACGAGAAAGAGACACGAGGACAGAGGACTGCTGGGAGCTCGGCGGACCAGAAAGATGACCCCGACCTGCGGCTGAAAGTGCGGAGAACTCCGTGTGCGGTGCGGCGCGGGAACCATGGTTGAAGCATGTTCATAGTGTCGGGCTCTTGGGGCCTGTCCAAGTTAAGAGGCTCACCAAAGCTTCAAGGGTAGAGCATGCAAGACCTTAAACCTTCCTCTCGCACAAGATCAGCCACGGTTCAACCAGAGACATTGTTCTAACTGCTAACCGGCATGATCGCTCAATTTCAAGAGGACTGCTCTGTCCTTTGTCTTTACCAAGCCCACAGCTTAAAACAGATCGTGTTGCTCCGGCCTCGCTGCCGGAGTGAGAACTGGGTCTGCGTCAGGCCTCCTACGGAGCAACAGGCTTGAACTGCCTTAACCCAAGACATCCCAAGACCGACAGAAGTGGCCGGGCTTTGCTCCTGGAGTCCTCGAGTTGAGGACCCAGAACCTTCGTGCCACGAGCAAGCCGAGGACGCCGCAACGCCGAAGGCCCCGCCTCGCTCGCTGCCCTGGAATCTCTGGATTCTCCCCAAGCGAGGCGCCAGCGAGTCTCCATTTTCTCCAGCTTCGGGCATTTAAGCACTTGCGCTACTTTCGAGTTTGGCTCAAGCGGACGCAAATAACCGTGGCGAAAGTCGCCAGAACACTACAAGGACTTGACGAGGCCCGAGAGGCATGTGTCGGTGCGTGCCGGCCTTCACATCCCAGATTGTTTGTATACGACGACTCAAAGAAGTGCTCAAAGATGCTGAGAAGCTAAGGTAAAGAAAACATCCAATGATTGGCTTGCGTGCTAGCAGACGAAGAAGGCTGTTAGAGTAGCGATATGTGGCGATGGCCTTGTCGCGCTTTCTACCAACCGCACGTCTAGACGTCATGAGCTTTCTGGGATGTTCTCGCCTTCCTGGTTTTTTTCGGGCTGGATGTCCACTGAGAATTTGCTTGTCGCTGATATTGATGCATGCATCATGCTTCAATGGCTGCAATGGCTAGGCATGACACCACCATGATGGATGCACAGAAAGATAAGACAGCGGTGCTGGGCCTAGCCTCTGCAATGACGTGTAAGGGACAACCGGCAGCAAAAACTTGCACGGATCTGGGCAGTTGTCGAAGGGAACCCACGAGCAGTATTCGGACCCGGGTTGATGTTTTCAGGTGACACTCTCATTTTTGCCGATCACATCTGGCAACTATACGCTCATTGGACTCCTGGAGATCCCTCCACGGTACCAGCATCCAGAAAAAAACGCACATACAAAGGAGGGGCTCGGTACGGAAGTAGTGCATAGGTTCTTCTTCGTTGTGTCCGCACGGAAAGCACACCGCGGACCGCGGGCCGCAGACAGGACCCTGAAAGGAGATTTGAGATGCTGCTTGCCAAACCCTAAACCCTAAAAGGAGGTAATGGTTAAAAACCACCAAAACCCCAAAAAGGAAATGTTGATCGAGAATCTCCAGGCTCTGAATGGAGATGTTGTTTACCATTTCCGAAACGCTACAACTGAGATTCTTGTTGCGACAACCAAACCCTGTGAGGATAATGCTGCTTGCAATTTCCGTTAAAGAGCCACTAAACCCTAAAACGAAAAGCTCCGGAACCCAAAACCCTACAAGAAAACATTGGTTGCCGAAGCCTTAGCAGTAGTAGTAGTAGTAGTAGTAGTAGTAGCAGCAGCAGCAGCAGCAGTAGTAGTAGTAGTAGTAGTAGTAGCAGCAGCAGTAGTAGCAGTAGTACCAGTATTAGGCGTAGTAGTAGTAGTAGTAGTAGTAGTAGTAGTAGTAATAGTAGTAGTAGTAGTAGTAGTAGTAGTAGTGGTAGTAGTTGTTGTTGTTGTTGTAGCAGTAGCAGTAGTACTAGTAGTATTGGTAGTACTAGTACTAGTACTAGTACTAGTACTAGTAGTAGTAGTAGTAGTAGTAGTAGTACTAGTAGTAGTAGTAGTAGTAGTAGTAGTAGCAGTAGTAGTAGGAATCTAACGGGCCGTGCAGGCCGCGTCCACGTAACCGGGCCGCAGATCTGGGGGCGGGGGGCACACGGGTCACACACCGCCGGTCGCAGGCGGCGTATTGTGCGGGCATTATGTGAGAGGGTGCAGCCAACTCCCGACCTTGACATGAAATTTCAACATGTACGTCTCCCAGATCGCGTAGTGTGTTTCGCTTGGATGTCGTTCAAAACACTGTTCCCACAAAACTTGGATCCCCTACGCCACACGGAGCTGCAAGTGCAGCATCTATTGTCCAGGCCGACTTGAGATCCATGCCAGTCACTGGACCAGCACTTGCGTTTGAAGCCAGACACTAAACCCTAAGTTTTAAGCTGCAGCAAGGCCAGGAGGAATTCAGAGCACGTACGTTGCGTGGGGACAGCGAACGAAGGAAAAAGCTCTTCATTGGAGGCACTTCAAAACCGAAATTCCCGTCAAAGACTAAGCATCACGGCCACTTCGAGGTACAGCTGCTGCATGGTGGAGGGGCATCATTGTTGTCAGAGCACAGGGTAAGTTCCTGTGACCATCGCAACGGGCCTCTGGTCGACATTCGCTGCGTGGCGCTACGGATCCATGACTGTGAAGACATGTGGAACTAAGAAGAGCATCATGCAAGCATCGATAAGAATTTCAGTGCTTCCTGCCCAGTCCGGTGAGTTACTCTAAGCGGATTCCGCGGACTGTGTACATTTCGAGAGCTTCAGGTAGACCTAGGACTCAGGAAGGATCATGCCGATTGCGCGCGAAAAGAAATCAACTAACCATGGCTGCCCGGCTACCCTCAGACCCGGTGCCGGATGCTCAGAGAGGTGATTGGTCATGCCGTAACGAGCTGATCTGCTGAGAAGTGAAGCTCCAGCCGACTGTTGGAGTGAATTACATGCCAAATTGCGCAAAAACAAAGGCATAAAACATTCGCACCGACGGGTGTAGTTGTTGTTTTATCTTCTGCATCTGACAGCAATCGATCCCGATATTCCCGATGCCATCACGAGCGCTACACTTCAGTTCTTTGTCAACGCTCTTTTCTGAGATGTTGCTCTCTCGATGGATGCTGCCGAGCATGTTGCAGAATCACCTGCAACGAAAAGCTCGGCATCTCAGCGCCCCGTGCCCAGTGTGCGTGGGATTGCAACAGAACACAGATCGTGCCACCGCCTTGTCAATGCCACCGGTGAGTTTGCCCAGCATCACAAAACAGGCAGAAGCCTCACAGTTCGTGAGCGCTGCGACGGTGCCAAAGCAGACCAAGTCTCTGAGTGGTCAGCCAGCACCAGCAGCAGCGGTGACCACAGCCATCCCATCATTTGCAGGAGAGCGAAACCCCAAGCCTGTCGGGAATGGAATGTGCTTGTGACTTCACACGGCAGTGAAGCTATGCAGTCCGTTTTGCATCTCTGTCGGTCAGGAGCAACATGCCACTTTGTGGAATTTGCCCACCGCTGGCTTCGCTAGTTCGGCCTCCCAGTAGGCCACGACATTTCAGGATAGCAGAACAGAAGACTGCTACAGTGTGCTCACAGAGAGTTGTGTAGTCAATAAACTGTGGTGCGCAGGGCCACCACACTAAAAGACGTCCGTTCTAGACAGCCTCCAGAAGCCACGCATACTGTGGCACCAACATTAACAGAATGGGCCTGACTCTTTTAGAGAACCAGTGTGGGTTTGTGCTGAGGATGCCTACATCGACACGTCGGAAACTTTGGCCGAAACATGCTGACTAAATTCGCTTCTGTCCACGCAGGACATCCAGGCCTCAGCTGCAGCAACACCTATGACGATCCTGTCAGTAGGAGACCTCTTTGTGGGAGCAGACGGAATGCGACGGAAGCGTGGTTCCGCAAGGCCTGGCCCAGCAGGCCTGTGCGGTTTGGGCGCCGCTTTGTGCGTCCAGGGCTTCACGAGTTGCCGCACGTTTTGGTGGACCAGGCGCGGCTCACGGGCCCAGCGCAACAGCCGGGCTTGCCCAGGGCGTTTTGCAGATCCATCGTCTTGTCTCTGAAGCCTTTGCAGCGTTCGATGGCACCAAGCAGCATTGAGGTCTCCGGCGGATGGCATGTCTCTGGCTCGCTGACCTGTGGCCAGGGCATTCCTCAAGCGAAAGTCCAGCAGTTGTGCAAAGGCGGATGCTTCGTGGCCTAGAGAACGGGAGGACTCTGCCTCTTGGAGCTGTTTCAGGCAGGACCGGATCATGGCGATGTGTTCCTCCGTCACCAGCCCACGTTTCTCCAGTTGGGGCATAGTTCCCGGAGGGTCGGAAGCAGCCTTCAGATGGGTTCTCGCGGCTGACACGCTGAGCAAAGTGTCCTCAAAGCTCTTCAGGGAGGCAACAAAGCCTTCACGCGCAGCAGACGAACCAGATCCATGTGCGTGCTCGTACAAGTTGTCGATCATCGCGAAAATGTCCCCGGGATCGAACCGTTCGCTTCCTTCAACTTCGTCTTCCTGCTGTTCTTCACTTCCAGAGATTTGTCTCGAGCGCTCCTCTATCATCCTCTGCACACGTTTCATATCATTGGCAAGAGATCCAAACAGGAACTCTGGCCGAAAGCCACAGGTCTGCTCGACACTTTCTAACTCTTCAAAGAGTAAGCTTGTCTTCGCTAACATAGTATGAGCTGCACCTGCCGGAGCGGTCATGGCAAGCTGGACTTCAAAATTGAATGCTCATGGTGAGGACAAGGCTAGCTGCTATGCAGTGCGAACTTGAACGTCAAACGATGCAGAAAACAAGGTTGAGGAAGGTGTGGCTGCTTGAAAAAGAGACTCCAAGCGGCACGAGCTGAAATGGAAAATCAGAAGTCAAGCCTCCAACACAATCAAGGCCAGCAGGCTCACGCACATCCTTCCGTGGACACGTTTGACTAGCTTTGTGAACAGAGGCATTTCACTCTAGGCAGCCTCGTTTTGACACCACGAACCTCTTCGAGCGCAGCGGAACCTTCTGCCATAAACACCTCAGATGACGGAGCTTGCTTTACATCTTCCCTCTGTCCAGGGCTCTGACCTGAATGCCTTCTTTCTGCCTAACAACTCAATGCCGGCGAACAGCCAAGCCTTCTGCAAATATGGCTGTCCAAATATCGACCCCGGGGCGGGCTTGGCTTGGCTTGGCTCAGCAAAGCGGCGGCCGCTTTGGCACAAGGACTACAAATCGACTCTCTGCCGGAGCGCATACCCAACCCGCGCCCAACTGCACCAAACGTTGCATGTCGAACGGAACGGTTTCAAGGGGGCGCATCCTGTGTTAAGTTCTGGAGCTTCGATATTGCAGGTCTGCGCTTTTGCTTATTCGCGATTCTCGGCATCTGGTGCCACCTCGTGAACTTCACCTTGCTGCACAATGTTTGTCAAGCGTATCACGTCAAGACCCACCTGGCTTTCACTGTGCCACCTGCCCAACCCACCCATGACCGTCTTCTAAGATCGAAGAATCATGTCAGTATGCAACCGTTTGCAGTGTAAACAGGAATCAACTCGTTTAATTCACTACTTTTTGCTCGTGACATGCAATGCCTGTCTTGGTCTGCGCAAGTTCTCTCAAACGCTCTCTCGTTGTTACATTGGCATCTCAGGGTGTGGCACGGCGATCTGGCTTCTCATGACCGCCACTGCCGGCATCGGCAGGCGCATGAAAGCGATTCAAGAGATCCTGGCTTGTGACAAGAGACAGCTTGAGGCCTCACCTCTCACACAGAGTCGCATAGTGCCGCTCCTCCTTCTCTGCGAAGAGGCGGCAGCCTGGCCCATCCCGCTGTCGCGCGCGCACGCGTGCGCGAGCTCGCCCAAATTTTTGTGGCTCTGAGAGATTTGCAGAGTTCAGAGGCGCTGGAAGCACCCTCAGGCCTGGGCAGAAAGCAAAGCCCACAACCAGTCGGGGCCTGTGAACGCTAAGCCCGGGTCGCTCCAACTCGCCGTAGTCGGATGTGAACTTCATGTGGTATGTGGCCACGAACAAAAACGGCTCCCTGACACGAGCAGCTCTCGATACAACCCACCTTGTGAATTACAATTTGTTGCACGGTCCGTTGGCCAATCAATCTTGCCGGTGCTTCTTCATCTGGCAAGTTGGCACAGACTGGAGCAACATATGCCTCGAACAGGCGCGGCAGACTGCAGAGCATGTCAGCAAAACCGCCACAGTATGACTTCTCAAAACCGCGTCTCGCGGCTTGCGGTCAACCCCTGCTGCACTCCACAAACCCGGGATCGCGAGCTCAGCTTGGGACCATGGTCACATCAACCAGAACCGGCGGTTGCACTTCAAGGTCCTGTGCTGGGACTGCTTGCGCCTGGTGGAAAGGCCGAAGGTTCAGCACTGCCTTCGCGACATCATGGAGGGCTTGCCATGCCGCGACAAATCCTGCCGTCCGCGGGTGGAGCACCTGCCAAAAGAGGAGCGAGGGCGCAGAGAATGAGGGCCGGGGAGGCCGGAGGCTGGCCTGCGTGTAGGTCTGCAGGCCCTCTTTTCGAGCGAAGCTTTGGCTCGTCTCCCTGCCACTTTGAAGCCGAAATGACCTGCTACCCGATGAGCTCCTGCACAGCAAAAACATGCCGGTTTGACAGATTCGACTTGCTCAGGTCGGTGCCCTGGCACAGCGAAAAACATTTGGAGGACGGTCCAAGAACTTGGTGGCATGCAACCCATGTCCTCAGGGAACAGTAGCAACGCCAAGTTCCCACGGCCGCCTGCCACATCATCTCATGTTCGGATTGACCGAGTCTGGAGCTCACCAGGGCAGACGCCATTTTGTGGTCATCAGCCGTCCGTTATTCGCAGTTAGCCCCACCCCATGATCTCTGCCGATTACCCACCAACGATTCATCGAGCAAAGGTCCCAGGTCTTCTTGTTTCTGGGACAGAGCTTCAAAGCGCTCACCAGCAGCCGGAATCTCTACGCGGGCAGAAATGCGCAGAAAAAAGAAATGCCTGACACCCCTGCACTCTCGGCAGTGCACCACTGTGACCACAAACATCTCGCAGTACTCGAAGGTCTGCTTCCCTATCACGTCGACACCTGGCTGACCCGGCCGACAACAGCATGAGATGTACAGCACGACAAAACGACCAAGCATGTCGGCAGTACATGAACGGGTATGCAAAGCACTGCCTGAGTGCCACATCGTCCAAGGTTCGAGCTCTCTTTCTGTTGCTCAATGGCGGAGGTTTCATCAGATTTCAACCAATTCGCAGAACTTGTTCAGTTGCATCTATAATTTAACGACACACTGTTGCAGGCACTTTCGATGCATGGTAGGCAGATTGGGATGGGACACTCGCCTAGTCCACTGCTTTAAAAAATAGATCCGGTTGGACCACCCAAGCTCCACCTGCAAGCTGACACAGGGCGTCTCTGAAGAAATAAGACGCCAGCACATGTCTTTGCAGTCACGGGAGCGGGAAGGTGACATGATCTCGAAGGGTTCAAAAGCCTCTCTGTAAACATATCTGGTGCGCGAAGCAAGGGAAGTGCAGCGAATGCACAAACCTGAAAGGGCTAGACGAACACTCGAGCCTCCGGGCAGGGGAGTTCGGACCACACGACCGTTGCTCAATGCAGCTGCGCCAGGCCGCCAGAAGAAACGTGAAACGTGAACACAACGGGAATCGCCGAACAAAAGATGCCTGTCGACCGACCTTCATCGCACACATTTGGTGTTAGAGGACCCTACTCTTGCGAGTGGACACTCGTTACTGACAAGCTCAAGAACACAACGAATGCGATCCCACAACCCACGCAAAAAGGACATGGTTGTCTCAGGTGACACATTCTTCTCACTGAGCTTCAGACACGGCCCATCCGAAACCTGTCACAATATCAAAGCAGGGTGTGCCACTTCGCTCTCAGCATCAGCTTGCCTGGTGCAGCTCGTAGGTTGTCCTCCACAGCGATGCGACTGATTGGCAACCATACGGAGCCAAACTGGACAGTGCAAATGGAAACAGTTCCACCTTGAGAACGATCTTCAGTCCGGACAAACGTCCCAGTGCTGCGGCCAGAGTCCACAGGAACATCCAGTCCAGCCTAGCAAGTGACAACACGCACGATTCGTTTGCCCCTGCGACCGTGTGGTTGAATGAAGCAGCTTGTCACTGACCGTGTAGGATGGTTGGAGATCAGCAGCAGGTCACCCTGACGACACTGTGAAGCTCATGTACAAGGCCATCGGCAGCAAAGTGAACCTGCATGCCCCAGTTTTCCAGCTTGTCGTCACCTGAGCCATTCAATCAATTCACTGGAGATGTCACTCCCAGCACCGGCAGATAAAATTCCCATATGCTTGGAGCAGGACACGCATGGATGAAGATCTGTGTTCGTAGAATGCACCGAAGGCAGAAGACTGCCAGGCCGAACCACGCGGCCTGCACTCAATCTATCAATGTACATGGTTTGCAGTCAGACATACTCACGTATACACATATGTGTGTCTATCTGTATATATTATACAGACACATATGCATGATTCGCTAGTTATCTATGTCTTGGCCATATTACTGTTCGCGATATCTACTTCTATTGCTTGCGAAAATATATTGCGTTGTGTAGTATGTTCTGTACTAAGCCTGTATCTGGCATATGTACCAGTAGTACATCTGTTCATGTTCATCTTCATGTTTGTGGTTGTATGGAACTATCAACCACAGGCCTGGCAGCAAGCTGCAACATTGCAGAAGAGGCCACGAGCCACGGAACTTGGAATCAACAACAAAGGCAAAGCCTCGGTGCAGCTTCAAGACAAAACCCAGCTTGCTGCTTTTTGAGCAATGAGAAGGTGGCAGGAAGTAAGATCGTGCAGCATGTCAGGATTGACCTTGCGCTGAGCCCGGCATTTTCCGGTGACGCGGTTGCTCGGACCGAGGAACAGACGTCTGAACCCACAGCAGAAGTACCTGCGGTAGTGCAGCTGCTCATGCGGTTGATGTCTTAACGTCGAACACTGTTCTGGAAGCAACGAGCCGGGATACACACCAAGCTGCCAGACGATGATGCAAAGGTGCCAGAGCCCTCATGTCATCACGGCTGGCCACGACACATGCCAATATCTTCCAGAAAGTCTGCAGACTAGCAGCAGCTAGCAAGCAAAAACGACAGCGGCAGCTCCAGTCGTGCGTTCGTTCGGCCATGCTAGGCCAGCTCAAGCTTCTACGGAAACTCGGCATCTCAGAGACGGAAGGTCCTTGTAGAAAACTATTTTCAAGCGTTTGGATCTGCCTTTGGTGCTGGGGTACAAATCACATTGGAGCAGAGGCAATCGACTCAATGACGAAGTATCAGGCAGATGTGAGATGTACCCAGGAAGTGATGCAACTCAGAGAGGCAGACTCTCAATGCAGTTCTATCAGAACTTCTAGAAACGATGCCCTCCTCAAGCGGTGCGAATTGCGGCCATATCGACTGCTGCCTCGTGCCTCGATTGTGTGAAGTGCATTGAGCCAAGCGTTGCATCGCTTGGGAGGAGTGGAACATGGCCAGGCTTTAAATATGAACCTTCAAAGGACAGCCGAGCAGAGACACGGCGTAAGCCTGTGGCAAATTCATTCGACGAGATGAAAACTTGAAATCCGATACTCGCGCTAGCTTGCATGGCACTCTCGGGCTCTTGGTGATCGAGGTGCCGCTTGAAATTGACGACATTGTGCACATCAAAGGTATGTGCTGCCAATTAGGGCAACTGTACAAACTGAGCTGATAGCTGGCTTGAAACCCTGTGCTTCGAATTGCAGATGTTCAACTCGGTCTCGGAGCTGTCGACTGACGACCAAGCCAACCTGGGCTAAGGAAGCAACATGCTTAAGGTCGACTCGTCGGGACGCTTTCGCATCGAATCATTCGGCAAAAACTGGGTCTTGCTGCGCAAGAGGCTAACAAGAAGGATACCCTGAAAAATATTGAGCTTCGAGGAACTTCCACACCTCATCTGCCCGTCTGCGTTCCGCTGCTGCACAGCAGCTTACCTCTCCACGTGCAGTGGTTCATACAATGGAACAGACTTTAGTGCTGCAACTTCACTGGCTTCTGCCGTAAGCCGCACCCCAAACTTGAATGCTGCAAAGCTGCTGCAGGCCGCAAGTTCCTTCAAACAACTTGTCCTTGACCAAGCTCCACTCAACGAATTAGCCGCAAGACGCAAGCCTCTCATGCCTCTCGTGCTGGTTTACGCCCGCCTTGTCCGTTGTCGCAACCCCGCCGCTGGATGAACCGACTTGAACCCAAGGTGTTCCATCCTGGAGGGCAACTGCGCCTTGGCCCTGGCCATCCTCGGCCCAACAGATCCCCAGCCCGGTTCCTCGTCACTCCAGGAAGACTGCGTCTCTTCAGTAGGCTTCGCTCCAAATCCTGGGCGGCTCTGAACCAAAGATCAGATCATGTCCATAAGGGAAGTCCAAGGACCAAGCTTTCATTGCAAAGCACTTTCACCTCAAGAGCAAGAGCAATGCTTTTCACCGGATTCAGAACTTGAGCAATCGAGCCTCCGTGAGCATGTCAGCCAAAGCTCCTTCAGAAGGAAGTTCCGTGTGCGCAAGCCGACCTGCGAAAACCAAGCTCAAATAACCGCGGCAAAGCTCCACACACAGCATCACCCCGCCTGTAGTAACACTCTTGATCCAGAGCGTTCCATCCTCGTCATATGCAAAGTGGCCACCCTGAGAAAATATATCAGGTTGCGAGGCCAAGGCGGAATGACCATACCTTGCAGCAAAGAGCAGGTTCACTTCATTCAACTTCTGCTCCAGCCTCTCCACGCGGCAGTCTCGCGGAACTCCTGTTCCTTCCGTCACGGACCAAGGCGTTCCATCCGCATCATACTCGGTGTCAACATCGCGGCCATAGCTTTCGGCATACAGGCCCTTGACATTCTCAAGCATCTGCTCCAAACGCTCCACACGCATGTCTCTGGGACAGCCGGTGCCACGAATCTCAAGCCACGGCGTGCCCTGCGCATCGTACTGGACGGACTCTTCGGTATCGACTTCGACACCATACTTGACCTCGTACAACTGCTTGACTTCCGCTAGCTTTTGCTCCAGCCTCTCCACGCGGCAGTCTCGCGGAACTCCTGTTCCTTCCGTCACGGACCAAGGCGTTCCATCCGCATCATACTCGGTGTCAACATCGCGGCCATAGCTTTCGGCATACAGGCCCTTGACATTCTCAAGCATCTGCTCCAAACGCTCCACACGCATGTCTTTGGGACAGCCGGTGCCACGAATCTCAAGCCACGGCGTGCCCTGCGCATCGTACTGGACGGACTCTTCGGCATCGACTTCGACGCCATAGTTGACCTCGTACAATTGCTTGACTTCTGCTAGTTTCTGAGAGAGCCTGGTCAGCCGGCAGTCAGTGGGCACATGGGTTCCACGGATAACTTTCCATACTGGCCCCTCACCGTCTGTGTCTGGCTCCTGGTCACAAACTCAGGTCTATGCTGCAGGACATGAGGCTCGGTGTAAGGCAGTGTTCCTCAACAAGCAACTACTACGATATCAACTTTCCGTCATTTCCCTCGGTTTGGTGTGAATCAGTTGTGAATCACATCTGGACTCCTGCAGCTTCTCCGTTTCATTCTCGACCGCAAAACCGTATTTTTGCTCATACAGGTCCTGCACTTCATGCAGTGCTTGCATGCGATATCCTTTGTTTTGACATACTGACAGCTATCGCAAGACTGGCTCCTTCACCTCCGCCAACAGCGACTCAAGCGAGTCCTTCTTTACTGATTAACTACCAGCTACCTCAAGATGTCTTCAAATCATCCAGGCAGTGGATATTTAGGATGCGGTGAGTCTGGCAATCTGGCTTGCTGGCACCAAACTCGAGCTGCGCTGTCACTGCCAGCCTGCGAACACGGCCGTGTTCTCTCGCCACCTTCTGCAGCAGTAAAGCTTCACTTGGTGCATTCAAACTCTACCTTCGGGACAACGAAAACTCAATCTGCCACTAGGCTGCCACTTAATGTAGCATGCAATTACAGAGCCAAACAAAACAGGCACTGTAGCATCAACAGCATCAAAGCAGCAAATGCAGCTGCAGCCGCATATGCCACATTCGCCACAGGGCAGCCGCAGCAGCAGCAGCCGCAGAAGTGACGGCACACTCATGCCAGTACAGAACGCAATCTCGCCTGCAGGCTGGTTCCATGAAGAACCTTTGCGGTCCTGGCAACACCGAAGATAAAGGTGAAAGTAGTTAGCAGTTGTCAGCTTGTCTACACAACAGCACCGTCTTCCGGCGCCAGCACCCGCTGCGCAAAGGTTCTTTTGTCAGCTTCGGCTATGAGGATAATGGTTGGCAACCATAAAATGCACAACGCACCTCAAGGCTTCATCCTTAGTGTGCACACTGCAAGTAGTTTCGACTTGCCTGGAACTGGTCTGGCAAGTCTTCTCCTGCAGTTCAAGGGACATCGGAGCACAGGAACAATGCCGGAACCTCTTGTGTTGGCTGGCGTCCTTCTTCATCTTCCGGTATCGACATCTGCCTGATGGGCCACACAAGCATCGCGAAACAAGATCAGGAAGCCGGAGGCTGGAACAACTTAACCCAATCACAGCAAGTACCCTACAAGCATCACGAAAGTCGTGGCAAAAGAATAGCAGAAGAGACTCTTTCAAGAGGCGCTTCTGCCTTGTAAGCAGGGGAAAGTGCTCGTCGTCGAACTCAGATGCGCAAAAGATGGATAGTGTGTGACTGTGAAGCTTTTGCGGTTATCACCACCGAGCCGCTCCATCAAGACACAGATGTGGAAGACGAAACTGCATATTCGGCGTCGGCCTTAGCCGCTGGCCACGGGTGCATCTGACGAACTGATCTAGCAATCATCCTGCCAAAAAAACATGTATGCCAAAACACCATTCGCAACGCAAATTTGACCACTTCTTCTATATTGGATGAGGGCATCAATACTAAGATGCTGGCGGCGCAGTACTTGCCTGGCCAGATCCCGGCTTCCCGACAGCACGGACAGGCAAACCTCCTGTTCGACGTCTTGCTTCACTGAGCCCCTTGCTTGGGAGAGAGGTGTTGAAGAGGCATTACAGCACGCCTGTTGGCGCAATTGCATGAAGAGACACGCACATCCAATCGACATGAAGCTGTATGCACCTCGCCGTGCTGCTTCGGGTGGTGATGGGGGCTCGCGGGCTGATTGCCGGCGAGCCCCTCATCTGGTATCTGGAACTGCAACCTGCACATGCTTGAGCTCACAACACTGGCAGCGCAACTTCCCGGACTCTGCGTTCGCATGCTAAGCGCCGCACGAAGACATGTCGAAAACGGATCAAAGAAACGCAAGTACACAAATCGAAGTTGATCTCCGGAACGGGTTCTCTGTGGTAAACAGCTGCGACAGACCAAACATGTCTTAGCGCAGTCAAGATCAGTTAAGCACATTTTGAGCAAATTTGTCACATTTTGACTTTCGGCTTCCTGGTGCCTCCAGGAGGCACGACTGCACCAACTCGCATGCTCAGGGACGCCGCGCCAATTAACTTCCAAGCCCCCGACGAAACGACCCAGTGCACCACCCCACAAGCAACTGCACTTGACCACCTTGTTTTCCCTGTGAAAGTTTGGCTCGATTCATAACATACAAAGAAGAAACTCGATCTATGGGCGGGTCCGAAAAGCTAGGTCCAGGCGTCAAACATGTTGCTCATGTTGAACATGCCCTTCCCCACAAAGGCACACGAGGTCGCTCTGACCATTTTCACGCACCGCTTCCAAGCGAGGGGTCGGTGGACGTCCGCAGTCACCGCCAAAGCTTCGTAGGCTGCTTAAAGAGGGTCCCGAAGGCCAAAAGTAGCAGCTAAGGCACCACAGCGAACTGTACTTTCCACCCATAGGAAGGGCCAGCCGGGTACGGCGAGCACGCCGAGCCTGCAGGCTTGTGCGGACACGTGCGGGCTCCTGTAGCTATACATAGGAGGAGGCCAGGATGTCGTAGCAGGCGGCCGCGGCCTTGATCCTTCTCGAGGCCACGCTGTTCAAAGCCGCCAATGCAGAGACAGCGCCCAGCTCTTGCAGATAGAATTCGAGGGTATGAAGGTGTTTCAATCTCATCCTCCACTGGATCTCGGTCACCGCCACGCCCTTGCGATAGGCTTCGACGGCACCTCCGCCGCGAAGCCCACCTGGGGTGAGGCGCAGCTCTGCCTCCAGCCCGAGCTCCGTCAAGAGCACGTTCCACCTGTAGCGGTAAGCAGAAGCCGAGCGCCCGAAGAGGGGCTCGTTCTTGTAGCA